CAAGAGTTGCAATCCTAGTCTCTGAAAAAATGGACTTTAAACCAACAAAGATCAAAAGAGACAAAGAAGAGCATTACATAATGGTAAAAGTATCAATGCAACAAGAACAGCTAATGATCCTAAATATATACACACCCAATACAGGATCACCGAGATAAATAAAGCAAGTTCTTAACGACCTACAGAGAGACTTAGACTCCCACACAATAATAGTGGGAGACTTTAACACTCCACAGTCAATATTAGACAGATCAATGAGACAGAAAATTAACAAGGATATCCAGGACTTGAACTCAGATCTGGACCAAGCACACCTAATAGACATCTACAGAACTCTCCACCCCCAAATCCACATAATATGCATTCTTCTCAGCACTGCATGGCACCTACTCTAAAATTGACCAAATAATTGGAGTAAATCACTCCTTAGCAAATGCAAAAGAATGGAAATCATAACAGTCTTTCAGACCACACTGCAATCAAATTAGAACTCAAGGTTAAGAAACTAACTCAGAACCGCACAACTTGATGGAAACTGAACAACTGGTTCCTGAATGTCGACTGGATAAACAATGAAATGAAGGCAAAAATAAAGATGTTCTTTGAAACCAATGAGAATGAAGATACAATGTGCCAGAATCTCTGGGACACATTTAAAGCAGTGTCTAGAAGGAAATTTATAGTAATAAATGCCCACCAGAGAAGTGAGGAAAAATCTAAAATTGACACCCTATCAACAAAATTGAAAGAGCTAGAGGACCAAGATCAAGAAAACTCAAAAGCTAGCAGAGGACAAGAAATAACTAAGATCAGAACAGAACTGAAGAAAATAGAGACACAAAAAACCCTTCAAAAAATAAATCCAGGAGCTAGTTTTTTGAAAAGATCAACAAAATAACTAGCCAGATTAATAAAAAAGAAGAATCAAATAGATGCAATAAAAAATGGTAAGGGGGATATCACCACCAATTCCACAAAAACACAAATTACCATCAGAGATGGTATAAACAACTCTATGCACATAAACCAGTAAACCTGGAAGAAATGGGTAAATTCCTGGACACTTGTACCCTCCCAAGCCTAAACCAGCAAGAAATTGAAACCCTGAATGGACCAATAACAAGGGCTGAAGTTGAGGCAGAAATTAATAGCCTACTAACCAAAAAAAGTCCAGGTCCAGATGGGTTCACAGCTGAATTCTAACAAGCATACAAAGAGGAGCTGGTATCACTCCTTCCAAAACTATTCCAAACAATACAAAAAGAAAGAATTCTTCCCAAAATTATTTCATGAGACCAACATCATCCTGATACCAAAACCCAGCAGAGACTCAATAAAAAAAGAAAACATCAGGTCAATATCCATGATGAATATAGATGTAGAAATCTTCAATAAAATAATGGCAAACCAATTGCAACAGCACATCAAAAAACTTATCCATAATGATCAAGTAGGCTTCATCCCAGAGATGCAAGTCTTGGTCAACATACAAGAGTCTATAAATGTAATCCACACATAAACAAAACCAAAGACAAAAACCACATGATTTTCTCAATAGATGCAGAGAAGGCCTTTGACAAATATCAACAGCGCTTTACGCTAAAAACTCTCAATAAACTAGGCATCAGTGGGACCTATTGCAAAATAATAAGAGCTATTTATGACAAACCCACAGCCGATATCATACTGAATGGGCAAAAACTGGAAGCATTCCCTTTGAAATCTGGCACTAGGCAAGGATGCCCTCTCTCACCACTCCTATTCAATATAGTATTGGAAGTTCTAGCCAGATCAATCAGGCAAGAAAAAGAAATAAAGCATATTCAATTAGGAAAGGAAAAAGTCAAATTGTCTCTATTTGCAGACAACATGATTATATATATAGAATACCCCATTGTCTCAGCCCAAAATTTCCTTAAGCTGATAAGTAACTTCAGCAAAGTCTCAGGATACAAAATCAATATGCAGAAATTACAAACATTCCTATACACCAATAACAGACAATAAAGAGCCAAATCAAGAGCAAACTTCCATTCACAATTGCTACAAAGAGAATAAAATACCTAGGAATACAACTAACAAAGGATGTGAAGGAACTCTTCAAAGAGAACTACAAACCACTGCTCAAGGAAATAAGAGACGACACAAACAGATGGAAAAACATTCCATGCTCATAGTTAGGATGAATCAATATTGTGAAAATGGCCATACTGCCGAAAGTAATCTATAGATTCAATTCTGTCCCCATCAAGCTACCTATGACCCTCTTCACAGAACTGGAAACCACCTTAAACTTCATATGGAACCAAAAAGAGCCTGTATAACCAAGTTAATTCTAA